CGCAATTCGCTCACCAACTTCCACATTCCCATGCACAAAACACCCATTCAAAATCGCACAAAGAACAGCTTCATCCGGTTCAATCTCCATTTCTCTAACAAATCTCTCAGCTTCTTCCACCATCCCCGCTCGAGCCAAGCAATCAACCATGGCCGCACAGTGTTTCAACTCAGCCACCACCCCGTATTTCTCCATCATTTTGAAATACCCGCGTGCTTTTTCCACCAACCCGCCATGCGCACATGCTGAGAGAACTCCCAGAAATGTGACCCCGTTGGGTTTAACTCGGTTTTCAAGCATTGTGTTGAAGAGACTTAACGCTAAGTTGACGTTCCCACTGAGTCCGTAGCCTGAAATTAGTGAGCTCCAGGAGATTATATCTCGTTCTGGCATTTTGTCGAACAGGTTGTGGGCGTGATTTAAGGTCCCGCATTTGATGTACATATCGATTATGGCGTTTCCTAGATTTAAACCCAGATTCAAATATTTTCTTATACACCATCCATGGATGGTTCTTCCATGTTTTAACCAACCCATTTGAGCACACAATAAAAGTAAACTCACCATTACAACCCAGTCGAGTTCAACTCCAAACTCGACCATGTCTTTAAAAACTTGGAACCCTAACAATGGTTCCCCCTGTTGAGCATATCCCGCCAGCATTGTCGTCCACAGAACTGAATCTCTTTTGGGTATCCGATCAAACAATTTCCGTGCATTGAAGATTTTCCCGAAGTTTACATACATGAACACCAAAGCCGAAGCGACGAACAAGTTCACCTCCAAACCAGATTTCACGCACAACCCATGAAGCGAACCGCCGATTCGAGCGTCTCCGGTTGAACAAGCGCAGGCTCTAAGAACAAGAGGAAGCGTAAAATCATCGGGCCGGAAATGGGATTCCCTCAACATGGTAACAAACAGTTGTAGAGAACTTTTCGAAAAACTCGATCGCGAGAACTCGCCGATTATGATGTTCCATGAATAAATATTTCTGTGCGGCATGTGGAGGAAGACGGAGAGAGAGTGTGGGATGAGTTTGTTGTGGTGGGAGTACATGAGGAGGAGCTTGGAACTGAGGATGACATTGCTGTACAGAGAGGTGCGAAGC